TTGATTTCATGAAAAATTCTGATATGACTTAGTTTCCGAGTATTTTATTCACAATCATACATACTTACGAAATTTAGCACAAGTGCTTTGAAGCCTTAATATCATACTCAAACCAGTCCCAATAACCTTTTTGAAGCCGGTAAAAAAGTTCCTACTAGTACAGCAGCAACGAGAAATTTGATAAAAATATAAAATTTTCTAAAGCTCTTAGAAATTTTTATATTTTAAGATTATGTCAGCTTATATTTGTTGCAATATTTTACGCACAGCGTACAACGAATGCAACGATAAGAATTCCAAAACACAAATACAGTGACTAATACGACGAAAATGCCGTCACATAAACAGAAGAGAACGAATGAGTCAGCAAACGCCTTTATGTACGTCTATATTAATAAAAAAAAATACGTATCTTTACAGTTAAAACTAACTGAACAAACTTATTGTACGGGTCACCGGGGTGTTTTAATTAATAGAGGATTTTATGTTTACTCTATATGAACAACTCGTGTACAACAGATTATATGCGAAATAATTAAAAATTAATTGCTATAAAATAATTAATTTAATTTAAAAGTTGTTGCTTCTAGCTTTATCTTTCACCTATGCTACAATATTCCTTAGTAACATAAAAAAGAACAAGACCCTACCATCTTTTAGGCCTGGGCCTCAGATTTTTTGTAGCTGTTTCGTAAACATTTGTTTCTCAGAGGCAAGAATCAGACTGCTGTGCGTGACACACCCCGTCGACTATGGTTCTAAGGCATAAGGGTTTCCTCACGATGTTGTCCTTTACCGGACGAGGGTTACATGCGCACGTAGAAAGTCCATTGGTGTACTGCTGGATATCGAACCTACGACATCAGGGATAAGAGTTTCACGCTAAATCCACTAGGCCAACAATGTTCAGTAACATATACTATATTTACTTCCAAAATATTTAAAATTATAATAAATGTTTAGATGTGTATAATTTAAGAATTTAAAATCACTTTGCTAAACAATTTACAACAGGCGAATGAATTACAATGTTGTAAATGTCGAAAGCTTTTTCCGTGACAGTTTTGATAGGAAACCCAAATAGTAAATATTGCTACTGCAATTTTATATACAGTCAAAACCTTTATAAATCTATGACTTTTCTAGTCGAAAAATAATTAATTTATATATGTAAAAGCAAGTCTTTTTTACAAAACTTAAGTATTAATAATTTGAACAAAATATTAATGAATAAAAAAATTGTGTTATTTAAGTTTACTTGTGTCGTAAATAGATGAAGTAAAACGTTATATTGATTTTATTGTTCTATTCCGCACTAGATGGCGCGAAAAATACTAACTACTAAATTTATTGAAGTAAAAGTAAGCGCCTTAAAATAAGACTTACATTGTTTTAACTACTGAACAAATTTCACAAATTATTTTGAAAGGTGCTATTTTCCTCCAGTCTGAAGGAATCATCGACTAGTCTAAACACTAATTAATTAAGATTATCGCAATTGATTAGTTATTAAAATTGAATTTAAAAAATTATAAAATGTCATTTTAGTCACGAAGTTCAGCAGAACTATGATTTCATGTCGATATCATAGTTTTTAAACTCATCGAAATTTTCTTCGAATTCATTTAAAATCAACGAAACATGACTCTTGGATGTAACGTGAATTTATAAATTTCAACATATGTAACTGTGGAGGAAGGATGGTCTACGTTTCCTCCATCATAAAATGATCATTCTGTGGCCCCAGTGGCTAACGTCAAGATGTTATATATGTATACCTTTTATTGGAATAACGTTGTTAGAACTGAAGGCGACATCATGACAATAATCTTCTATTACTCAAAAGATTGTATAAGTAGACACAAACAGAAAAAAAAATGCAAATGAAATTGTAAAAGTCCGCCTATTCTCAGTAAATTGGGATATTAAACGAAACTCTGTTTTCCTTAAGTTCACCACTTTAGCACGTACAATGCGGTTTGTGCCACTCAGAATTAAATGACTCTTAAATGTGTCTGAAGCTCAGTGGCCACAACTTGGCTTATTACATACGTCTCAAGTTCGGACTCTGAAGAGGCAGAAAATGTTTCACATTGGTTTACAATAGCAGATAGGTATTACGCATGCAAATACAGAGGTATAGGCTCCGAATATGATTTTGTTCCATTGGATGTTGAGACCCTTGGTCCGTGGGGTCCTAGCTCTATAAGGCTTTTTAGGGAAATAGCATATAGGTTAGTCGACATCACAGGAGACCGAAGAGCTGGCTGCTACCTCGGACAAAGAATTAGTCTAGCTATTCAAAGGGGGAACTGCCAGTATCTTCGGAACCTTGCCTAAAGGGACCTTTCCATAATATATTTTAAGGTTAGTTACCTATTGTTTTGATTGTTTTTACGAGTATTATCTGCTTCGTTGATATTTATTTCTGATTTAATTCAAAGTCTTTAAAGCAACTAATTAACTTAAGGCTTCAAGTGAATTAAAGTTGATAATATCGTAAATAGCATATAATATTATAATTTGTATTACATATTAACTGAAACTTCTGTTTTGCGAAATCATTTCATTTACTCTGTCAACAAGGGGCTGTATCACTAATCATTACGCGCGTTAGTTTTATCTTAAAACGTTGACAAAATTGCATGGAATAAAGTATATATTTAGTATCCATATATCTATCTATCATCATGTTGATATACATCTCTATATTATATTTAAAATTTTACTTTAATTTTAATTTTTTTAACCTTTTGCGAGTTAATAAAAAAAAAACTAAATACTGCTGGTAAGTAATTTTTTATTTTTTGGATTGGTACACTATTGTAGATTAAGAAAAAACATTATGTGTACTTACTGTATAATTTATTTTTTATTTACCTTTGAAAGTCAAATTTTGGATAATTTAAAGAAAACATTAAAAAAATCGACATAAATTATTCCGTTTGCCCAAGAACTCTTTGTGATGCCTGGGATAATAGATAAAGACCCCCCCAATCCACCATTTTGATTTGGTTGGATATCCCAATTTACTCAGGGATAATGAGCAGTTGATGAAAGACATTAATGAAACATTCGAACAGTGTAAAATTTTGAAATTGATATTGTTGTTTTTGAGTGGTTTCGTTACAGAAATATACAAATATTTTATCTTTATAACAATAAGTATAGGTTATTAAAGATATAGATTAATAGAACTGTAGATATCATTTTAAAGTTATACAATGTTATAAGAGGCGCTGGACAGAAATCGGTGGAATCAGATTGTCCGCTCCATATGTTTCCTTGCTGACCACGACGGTTAGACATGAGCTTCCGACTGAATAGAGAGATAGATTTATATTTTAATAGTGAACAAAATTTTTCATAATAATGACTTTTGTTATTTGTCAGTCTATCACTGTTTATTAGAAAATTTATTCAAATCTAAATCGAATAAAAATGTATCCATTTCAACCAACAACAAATACATTTGTCAATAGAAAGTATGTCTATAAATAAAGTACTCATTCCTGTTCTGAGTTATGAAGACGCCAGTTTAAATTAAAACGCCAATAATTACTTATCAATGTACTTACTCATAATGTCTGCACCAATTGAATGAGGTCAGAACGATAAAAACTGTCTCATTCGAATTATTATATTGTAAATGGAACGTATTATCGGACCATGTTTTATCTGACCAAATCGGCGCGTTGGTTTTACAATTAAAGAGAATTTATTTAAATATTCTAGTTAAATAGGTAATTCGGCCTTTGTTTATTCCTTCTTCAGACACATTATTTGGTGTTCACTGTAGCAAAGTAAATTCATTCCCAGTTTGATCTTTATATATTCTTATATAATCAAATAAATCTATAAAGAAACTAAACCAAATAAATTGAAAACACTAAATTATTGTAACATTTATGTAAATACGTTCTTGTGTCAGAGCCACGCAGTGAGGGGCAGGAATATTCTTCTGTTCCTCAAACAAGAACTTTTATTTTATATCTGGACATTTTTGTCAAAATAATAAAGTTATTATTATTTTATTAAAAGCCTAACTTAGCGAGTGAGAAACGATATACACACACACAACGATATCACATAGGAAGTTATTAAAAAAGTTACTTGTTTTATAAATATAGCTTACGTTTCAAAAGTAAAAAATAAAACAATGTCGATTCTTTGCGTCGCTATACATAAAACAAACTAAAAACAATCTGAGTCCGTATTTCGTTTGTTTCGTTGAGTTTTTAACTTATTTCAATGTTTATGTCTTGTGTTGCGTCAATAATATACTTAAGGAACATGTCACGACCTTAATAATTATAGTAACTATTCGCTAATCGGCTGTCCGTATTGCGTTTTATATTGTCATAACAAAAGCCACTTAAATATTATAATACTTATTTAAGAATGCTTACATCAACTGGCCAATTAGTACAGCTCTTTGTTTGGACTCCATTTAAACAAGTTTTTAAAGTATTTTAATGACGTTTATTGCCTATTTAATATTGTCATTTGACGCGTTTTTTTAATGGTGAAATTCTATTAACAAAGACAGGATATATAAATAAATAGACGTACAGTTCAAAGTCTTGATCTTGGGGTCATTCACCGGTCATAGGTCACACGTTTATAAATGCGCTTGGCGTTTGTTTATTAACTCATTTGTTTGTTTAGCTAAATTGTTTATAACTAAGCCATATAAAAATAACACAAAAACAAAGAGATCTCATTATTTAATTATAAAATTATATAGGAATTTGATTTATATAATAATTCATATCTACCGCACCGGCTACTCCTGATACACAAGTACATGATTTATCATTTAAAAATACACATGTCAATGATCAAGGCTAACACATCAAAGATGATAAACATAAAATCAACAAAAAATTGTTATAATGGAAAATCTTACGACGCAATTTAAAACTTCATAATTTAAACTTCACACATGATGTCCGCGCTCGATCACTTATAACACACATAAAAAACAAAAGAAATTCAAATCATCTTTCGTTTTCAGCGACTCGAGCGCACGCTTCACAATTGACATGCGATCGTAGATTATTATTATTACTTTTCCTCCTCACAGCATGATTGCGTTCTCTAGAAGGAAATTTCTGTATTTTCTTCTCTGCCACTGGTTCGTCTTTCTTCAGCCGACGGCATATTTCAGCCCACTCCAATTGTTTTAATGATAGACACATCAGACGTGTTTACAACGTGACTTCACAGTTGACAATGACTTGATATGCGCTTGCGACCTCACGCTGAGTGATCAAGGTTGACAATTCTTTCCTTCTTATTGATAATTTGTGGCACGTTTGTTTTGACATTATGAAAGCGAGATAAGTTATCGGAACCGGACTAAGATATGGCCTATTAGTTAAAGCACTCTTATCGTCTCAATGTATTAGTTTTTGAGCCATTAACATTTGTTTGTATTTTTAATGGACGCTTAACGAAGTCTGTACTAACGAATATTCGTTTATGTTAAACTGGGATATTATTGGTACCCAATTTATTAAATGATTTAAAAATAACTCTACTCATACACATGTTACATTTATTAATTGTGTGCTGTCAAATCCTACGAAACGTAACCCTATTGAACAAAGCGTATGTATAAATTGTGTGGTATATGCAAATTATCAAAACAAACTTACCTCCACGGATGTGAAATGAATCCCGGACATAATTCAGGACAGTTGTCACAAGGCCTGCCTTCAGAGACTTCTTTTATCCTGACGCCCTGTAACAAAAATTTAATTTAAATATCATATTTGAATACATATTACACAGCTGTAAGGCACTCGACGTAAGTAATAAATTCTTGATTATATATTTATATCCGTTAAAGAGAATGTATTTTGGATCTGATCCCCAACTAGTAGGATTCCTAGTAGAGGTGCAAACGGAAAATTGGCGTGCCGGACAATTAAACAGTGAAGCAATTTCAAGGGGAAGGTGATTCAATTTTTAAAGGCAACGTGCCTTTACACCGTGGGAGAGTATTTAGACCAAAAGTTTAGACAACAATTACAAATAACTGTTTTTATTATTATGACATCATGATAATTAATATGACATTTGCATTCCTATATATTATATGCTGTTTTTTTTATAATTAATTAATTTATGGACCTGTAAATCATAATCATCAACTATTGTAAGTCGTCTTAAAGCACTTCGTAACATCTGCATTCTCATCGTCATCATCGCATTCACTGTAACTATCTGAAGTGGAATCACTGTCCCATTTGTTTGCAAATATCTTAAAAATATTTCGTCTCTCGCACCAGGATTCCGAGTCCCTCATGGTTATTTTTTTATTCTTCCTGTGAATTTTAAATGGTACTTGCTTGAGCCTAGGTTGAATAACGTGAGATGGCTTTGCTATTGTCTTTTTGTACAATTTCTCGTAGTCTTCTTCGGTCACACCACAGTGGTATAGGAGATAGTCTTTTTTAATCTGCTCTATACCTACGGGGTCTCTCCAGTAGATCTCTTTCTTTCTAACTCCCAGGTAATAATCAAGTTCTCGATCGCCATAATCGCTGCTTTCGTCTGATTGATTATCTTGTGAATTGGTTTGACTATCTTCGTGATCGTCAACTATTTTTGCAAGTAAACGATACTTCCTCGTATTCGGCACCTTTTTTAATAAGTTAGCTGTATTCGATGTCAGGAATTTTGTTGTCTTCTTGTACGCAGTAGCGACGGACTCCCGTCTACGCTTCAAATTGTACATCTTTCTCCGTTTGACAGGGCGATGAAAAAGTCTGTTTAGCAACTTCAGTGTTTTGATCCAGAACTTCATTTCAATAAAGCATTTTGAAATAACATTTTCGGCTCGTTATTGGCTTAATAAAGCAAGGGGAAGTTTCACGGAACGTTGCTTGCAAAGAACTAGCCGTGGTTTTACTGTTACGATTCAATTGGGAGGGTGACGTGATGGGGATCACCTGTCAATGGTTGGGTAAAGTTATCTAACCAGGTATCATAGAACCTACATAATGGAATTAAAGGTCAGTTAGCTGATTACGTTGAGGGGTCAGAGTGGGCTGGTCGGCTTTCATTGTAGATGGTAAGGGTGTGGACTTTTTATGATCATGCAAACAGTGCTAAATGTGTCCATCGCAAATGACACGACAAATTGCAACACCCTTGGGTGAAATTGATTGTTATATTGGTGGTCTTGTTAGCAATGACACTAAATAAAGGCACATATCCACGTGACTAACACGCATTTAAGTAGCAATAAATATATATTATGTTTACATAATACAGATAAGAGTTAATATAATATATACATAATATACTTGCTATTCAAGAGAAGTCTTAAGCCGTTTCGGACTAATGAAGTGCTTCTAAAAATAAACTATGTATTTTCATTGAACTTGATTGTAATAATTTATTTCAATAATTTTAATCATTAAATAATTAATATTTTTTTACGTAATGTTTGCTAACCTACTTCGTAATGAGATATGGTACATTCATGTATTTATTAAAATTATGAAATGTTACAAGACTAATAACGTATGGCATTGTTGTGTTAAAATTAAAATAAAAAGTAATATTCCTTTATATTTTGAAACTTTTTTGAAAATACTGTCACAGGAAACTTACAGAACATCCTGTCAATTACAAGAATCAAATGTCAGAAAAATGGTGGAAAAGACAAAACAAAGAATTGTTTTTAAGGAACCATCGGATCACTTAAGCTTTCTTCGTTAGGCACGTAGTCACCTTTGGTCTTCATTTCTATACCTGTATCGTACAAACGAAACGACCAGATGGCATTCGAAATCACCAAACTGCAGCCTTTTAGATTTTATTAATATTTTATAGGTTTATGAAAAATTCAATTTGCTATTACACAATGCAGTTTTGTTTCATAAAGGTTTTGTTTGAGTGTTCTTATGAGCGGCATAAATAATTTCCTCTCGGTTAATTGTTGGATCGAATGTCCAGAAAACTCTATTAATTATAAAACAATTTAAATAGAAATCACCTGAAATAAACTGACCAGAAATATTGATTACATTCGCAATATTATATACATAATTAGTTGTAATTAAATATAACAACTTAAATCACATTGGATATAAGCGCCACCTAGTACGAACTGAGAGTACTATGTTAAATTATCAACGTCTCGGGTCTAAGCATTTTAGTATTTTTTAGGTTACACGCCATCTGACGTCGAATAGCTAAACTAACATTATTTTGTTACATATTTTATAAAGGATAGTTTCGTGGTTCACTCAGATACACCTCAGAAGAAAAACTATTCGTATTAATTCTAGGAAAAAACAAAAACACCTTGAATTTCCTTATAACTTTTAACCCCCGACGCAAACACAGCGATGTTCTTAGAAGTGTCTGTGTATAACTCTAAACGAATTATGATGCGAAATTATTATAAAGCTGATGGTTAAGAGATGGTTCTTAGCTTTAATCAGGCAAACGGGCAGGCGCGTTACATCGGGTTAAATGCTAACCACCGCCCGTGGACATCTGTCACACTATTAAGGAAGCAATTCTCTCGAAGGTTCCCTAAGTCGTGATGGAAATACCTGGTATGACAACTATTTATAAAAAATGGTGGTGGTGGCTCGGAAGAAGTGTTAGCGCGATTTTCAATAATGTTTTTTTTTGTAGAACGGGGGCAAACGGGCAGGAGGCTCATCTGATGTTAAGCGATACCGCCGCCCATGGATAGCCACTTAATGGAATAGGGCTCGCAAGTACGTTGCCGGCCTTTTATGATAAGCTCTATTCTTGAAGGACCCTTAATCGGTGTATATTTTCTTACATTTGGAACACTGCTAGTATTCATTATGTTCCGATGTTCGAGCTCCAAAGTACTTACAATTTTAAATTAAATAATATTGCATAATTTATCGTGTTGCCTGAAAGACATAACAAAAAGTGTTATTAATTTAACAAAACTATTACAGCGCAATTGCATATTATAAATATGCATTTGTTAGTTTTTATCATTATTGTATTTATCTTCATAATTACTTGACAACAATCGAAAAGTTGACTTCAAACACGAAAGTTTAAAAAAAAAAAAATCTACCAATTTTTATTAAAGTAAATTTATTATTATTTAATTAAAAAGCAAATACAAGGTCACATTAACACTGTTTTATTAATGAGTAATGCCAAGAAGGCTGTTCAAAAGACAAACACACATTACACTTTTACAAACAAAAATTATTCATTCCGATGCGTGAAACTCGACCGGAATGGTGGAAGGCAGGATCGGACGCGATTTGCAATATTTTATTTGATAGTAAGAACAGGATGGTATCCATGTATGATAATAGCTTTTAAAGTAATTTAACATGCAAGCTCATCCTTTAATGGTCCTGTTAACAGATTGTGTCGAATTAACAATAAAAATATCATGATGAGGACTTTTACAGCAACTGGACTTTTTAGATACCTTACGCCGAGTCGTTTTTGCAACATTGATAGTTATTTGGTTTTTTTGTTTTTGTTCCCGTTGGAGTACTCTTGGGCCGTGGGACTCAAGTGCACAGACGCTAATTAAAGATTTAAGTTGGCGCCGTAGATAGTACCGGTGACCCCAGAGACGGTGCTTTCCTCATCTAAGTATCGCAATACAGCGAGGAAATGCTGCCACAAGGATCAAACTTTTTAAATTTGTTTTAAATTCTTAATTATAAATTATTATATATTTTGAGTATTATTATACTATGTAGGTTAAGAATATTGTAAATACTTAATTATATTAAGTTTTTGTTTTCTTTTGCTTTGTTATATTCCTACCTAATTACTAGTTATGTATTTACATTGTAGATTCGTGGACGCTTGAAGGACCCATGCAAATTCTTCAATACAAAACATCCCCTCGGGAGTTGTGTACGATATTGCGGGCTACTCGATTGTGAGGAAGAGGCATGGATCTGGTAACTGGTTAGCCACCATAAGTTCTCATGTCATTTTCACATGTATATATCCTTTTCATAACTTTTTTATTTTTATCTTTTAAAGGGAGAACAACGTTCTATTTTTTTCACTTACCACTATTTAGCACTTAAGACTAACTTACACTAACACTAATTCACTAGTTCAAATGGCTTTCTCCTTTTCAGTCTTCTCACTAGGCCTGTGGTGTCAAAAATTTGAATCGCCTCGACATTCACGTGATGGTGGAGCCTATGTTCGTGGTCTCCAGAAGTATTTTTTTATTATTGTAGCCACGTCCTCTACATTAAGGTCCCGATCGATGTCGTTTTCGCGAATGTAGCAGGGATTGACTATTCCCCTGAGCACTTTGTTTTGGAATCATACATTTATTTAATGAAAATATTATTATGTAATACGGCTACTCGGCCTTCTAAATGACTTCACTCACATACACACTGTGTTAGGCATATTCTATGTATCATTTCAACAAAAAAATTATTTCCGGAAATAAAATCGCTCTGCTCCTATGTTTTGATTCCACTTATTCCTAATTTGGAATTCAGGGTCGATATTAAATGCGATTGCGTAACGTAATATATTGGGCAGTGATCTAAAGCTTGATGATGAACTACTCTATGTTATTTGCTTTATGCGGATTCGCTTGAATAAAATTAGGAGAAATAATCTCTTAACAAGGCCGAATTGAAGTTGAATAGGGATTCAACAAATCTACTGAACCTGTATAAGAGAATGCTCTAGAAATTTTTATATTAAACCTTATTACAGGTTTTTTTATAGAACTGGGGGCAAACGAGCTGGAGGCTCGCCTGATGGTAAGTGATACCGCCGCCCATGGACACTCTCAATGCCACAGGGCTCGCGAGTGCGTTGCCAGCCTTTTAAGAATTGGTAGGCCTTTACTTTGGGAACCACGGAACACGAAGTACTGGAAAGAACAATAATTATAATAAACAATATATAATTATATAATTAATAATAATAATAATTTAGATTAAGTTTGATAATTCTCTAATTTTTCAGTGTTACTTGTAATTTTATTGTTGTTGGTTTGGCTTCTTACACTTTACTCTTAATATTTATTTATTAGTTTTTTTTACTAGGGTTGCCAGGAAGACATCGCTTGTTAGTAATAAGGCCGCCCGTTGCACCCTAATATTTTATGTTTTTTTTCTTTAAATATAACGGAGTTTAAACAACTAAAAAAAACTAACTTTTGTAATATTTTAGCTACTAAGTTGAAGTAAGAAATGAGCTCGTATCTACGTAATACAATAAACAACTTTTACTTAATCTAATATTGTTTAGCTACGGCAAATATTTTTAATACAATTTACGATGTATATTGATATGATTCCAAATTTGACGTCTATGTGCAATAATGTAGAAATGTAGGAATTTCCCTGTGGAAATCAATACGATGAATCTAAAGTTTCAATGGCAATAATATGTGAAATACCGAATCACGGATTATGGTGCGCTGACAGACGCTTGTTAACGCTTTATTAAAAACTAAACCAGTGTAACTGAACTTATTTAACTAAAGTACTCTTTCTGTTAAATCATTTACGATGTGAAAAGAGTTAATACGGTGCAATTAGACTGTTTTTTTGTACGTTTGGTCAGCCACATCAGGTACATCATAAACTTGGCGGAGTCTAAACCCAAGTTTGACCTTGTCTCCACAAATATGAACGTGTTAGTTTTTTACATAATAGTCATAGCTCGCGCTAATTCCGTTTCTGAACCTCACTCTAACACGCGACACGCATTATAGTTGCGTGTTGCGGTACGCATGCAGTGCTCATATTAACTTTTTTCTATTTTATTACAATCTAAACTAGACTAACAAAT